AATTTAAACATAAAAATTAGAAATAATCTTCGTTATCGTTATATCGAGGTTCGTTATATCGAGGTTATACTGTATAACTCATAGCTCAGAACCAGTTGTATCCAAGGTTTGTTGTAGGACCCATTCATAGCTTTTCTGAGTTTCATTACTTAAAAACGCCTGTGCTGCCAATTGTGATTTACCATCATTATCAATAAGAATGAATAAGAATAGAGGAAAATTGTATTTATTGGTTCTTGAAGTATTGTCATGTAAAATAATATCTGAATATCAAGATCATAACATAATTTGGTTTGCTGTTATCCAAAAAATACCACTTAGCTAATTACTATCTATATTTATTAATGGTTGAATGAATATTATAAGATCTTCTTTTTGCTGTTCAAATAGAAATTTTAGTAAGTATAATGCATTAGATCCAACAACATTTTTTTCAAGCTTGATTTTTTAGATTGCATTTGATAAATCTTGCATAAGAAAAGTTAACCAGGAAACAAAGGCTGTAATAAATTTCTTATAGTATAAGCATTGCAATGGCCATATACAACCACATGTTTAATTTTATTCATTATAGACTCATTAAATTTTCAAAATATCGTGGCAAATCTCAGATTATCAGCACTAATATTATGGTTATGCTCAAGATATACAAGCATTATATGCACAAAATTGCTAGTTTCCAGGTTACTCAAGTTAACATGCCATTTACAGTCAGTTTTTTTTGATTCTTTGTTACATTGTTGCTCTATCGGTTTTGTCTTGTTAGGTTTATACTTTCTATCATTCTCACATATATATGTTCTTTTTTTAACAGGATCATTTAACAGAGTCAAATGAGATTTGTGATATTCAACTCTATACTGGTTTACTACAAATCCTTTCTGAAGGCTATACTTCTTTAAGTAGTGCTCTGTGATTGCCCAAGAATTAAATCATATTCAAACAGATAATTCTATAGGTTGATTTATATAATGCTTTGTAAGGTTAAGGCCTTCTAACTTCAACCCAAGAACAGGTATATTAATTTCGCTATTGCTTTCAAGAGATATAGAGCCTCAAAATATTTAAAAAGCTAAGTGTTAATAATTCACTATATTGTTATACTTTCTGATTAGTACATTAAACTAATCTTTATTAATTTCTCTAGTTTTATTTTCCATATTTTCACCTTCCATATTATAGCTTCACTAACTTCGCCTTCTATATCAACAAGCTCAACTTCCATATCACCACCTTCTACAAATTTATCTTTCACAAGTTCAACTTCTACATGTTCGTCTTCTTTAGACTTATCTTCCAAAGATTCGAAAGCTTTACCTTCTACATGCTTGGTTTTCATGCATATAATTTTCACATATTTATCTTTCGTAATTTCATTCTCCACAAGTTTGTCTTTCATCAATGTACCAAGCCCAGGTTTATCTTGCAGCATAGATTTACTTTCAAATAGTTTCTTGAAACATGCAAGCAAGAGGTTAGTAAAAATAAGTATACATATTTAAACCCTCTGCAAAAATAAACCATATTATTATTTACTTATATATGAATATAAGTTCTTAATTAACTTTCTGTTTTATACGGCATACAGAGATCTTTGTTTATTGTTTATGTATATTCATACATAAGGGTATTTTAGCAAAAGAAAAAAAAGAAAAAAAAAAGCATTGTTTTTCTTTATAGTTGTTTACCTCCTGCACAATTAAACTCTATTGCAATATTGTAATACGATCGCTAATATTTCTAATCTCTGATCTGTATCATGATATGATATACCACACCATGCTTTAAATAAATTTACCCTTAACATTATTAATATAGTATTTACTATATATAGCAATCACGATACAAGTAAAAATTGTAACAATATAATGGCTAACCAATAAACACTTCGCACTTGTATATAACTTCTTGTATAAGTAACTATACACTGGAGCTAAAAATATCTAATCATTTTCCTGGCCATGTAGCCTATTGTTTTAAGTATCTTTTTGATATATTAGAATAGTGTATTTTATATAATTTGAATCAAAAGTGATATTTTTGAATAGCCAGAAAATTAATAGATATTTTTAGCTCTGCTATACACTTCACTTTACACTTATTTGTTGGATATGTACAAGTACAGTATATAAATTTTTAACACAGATAATAACTAAATAAAACTAAATACAAAATATATTATCTATAAAATCTCTAAAATAGCAGAGAATTTCTTGATAGATATTTAGTGTTAGTACATATTAGTATTAATATCAAAATCAAAACAAAACAAACATGCATATATATATATATATATATATATATATGCATGTTAATAAAAATTACAAAAAAATATTAATATTTAGAAGAATTTATATATAAGGGCCCAAAAAATGAAAATAATTACAAATAAGAGCTCAAAGTGAAAATAATTGCATATAAGGGCCCAAATTTTGAAAAATATTCAAAGTTTTATATTAAAATAACTTTCTTTTGATATTTTTTTTTTTTTTTTTTTTTTTTTTTTTTAAACCGATGTCATGATGCTTAACGCTTTATTGTGTTTTTATATATTTTTAATTACAAACATTTTCTGGTACATTGATGAGCGTACAACTAGCCACACGTACAACTTTTGATTGTCTATTTAAGTAGTCCGCCCGAAGGTTCTACACTAGCTGCCATACCTGCAACCTGCTAGGAGATTGCCTATTTAAACCCTCTGATCTTCTGTACCCACTCCGCAGTTAGCCCCATAAGTTCTTGTACACCAAGATGCCGTCTAACTCGACATATGGTTTTCCTTTCTGTGCTATGTACCCAGGCCATCATCTAATTAAAGACTGCATCACCTAGTAGCAAGGCTCAGGGTGCCTCTCTGTCAACAACCTACCCACTCTATGGTTTTATCAACAGGGCTATGCCCTTGCAAAGTTCATCTAAACCCTGGTATCCACTTCACAGCATATCCCCGGTACTTCAGTTCTCTTCCGTTTTTGGTTCCAGACTCCCAATCCAGATAGCCCGGAAAGACTGTGACCTGTCTCTGGTTCATTGGCTCTGCCATGACCTTTTCCTCTGGTTAACCTGGCGGCCTGGTTGGTGGATCGGCTTTACCACAAACCGATCGTGCCCTGTCCGGTTCTTCTACTTCGGTTTCCTTTCCTGAGTCTAGCCTTTACAGTAGTACTGTTGAAGATCTGTGCTACCTCTCTACTCGGGTCTTCTCAAATGGGCTTCGGTCCTCCCAGTCCTACAGATTTACATAGCCTAGGGACTTATCTAGTGTTTGCACTGCCCAATGCCAGTTTACATCTCTTTGTGTAACATGTTGCACAGATGCCTCAGACCTGCCAGTCATGCTGGTGCGACCTTAGTTACAAATATCCTATCCCAACTGATCGATGAAGGACAGTTGCTGTAATACAGGTAATTATTCGAATTTTCCGTCGACGGTGGGTTTCGAACTCTTGACCTGCCACTTGGTGAGGGTGACAACCTAACCACTACACTAGATCGCCACACCCCACTATTATATATTTAAAATTCAGGAAAAAGAAAAAAAATACAAATAACAATGCATTTATATTAAAAAATAAAGTATAGTGGGCAAATATAAGAAATCACCTAAAGATTTTAAGTTGTTAGAATTATATAATTATTTATAAACACTATAGAGAATTAAATATTATTAAATGAGTAAAGAAATAATAACTGTGTGAATAAAAATAAGTTGTATTTTTTGAATAAAAAAATGCTAACACATAATCTTAATGGTTTAATATATTATGATGTAATTATGTGTAATGTTATGGTTACTAACAAATAAAAAAAAAAATTCTGTATAGAAGGCCCCATTAAAAGAAATCCATTTAACCTTTATAAAAGTTGCTGAACCTGATAAACATGATCGAACAGAACTCACCAAAAATGTAATTATTACGTATAAAGAAGACTGTTGACTTAGTTAGAAAATAAAAGATTAGTTATTAAAATATAAAAAACTTCAAAGATTTATTAAAGGCTCAAAACCAGATTTCTGGTTTTTCAAATAATTCATTTGCAAACTTACTCAATGAGATTTTACATAGTGGTGATATTGTAAATCTTGGACTTTCAATATAAAAAAGGAACAGATATTTCTATACCCTTATAAATTATTACTACAAAATTATATAATACCATGATGTGCAATTTACTAGGCCAAAAATTAAGTAGCTATAATACAGCTTTGTTAATGTTAATACTTTTTTAATATATATATATGTGATCAAAGAGTGCTATTCTCTATCAAAACATAATAATTTGATAAAAATTAAAGCAATCAAATAAAATTTTTTTATGTAATACTGTAATATCTAATAAGTTCAAATTTTATATAGTATCAAAAACATTTAAAAAAATTTTTTTTTACTATCCTATATCTTGACCCATTTGACCTGGGTTAGAGCAATCTCTGATCTGTGAGCTGTCAGGTCAGATGATCCATACAGGTTATTAACCCGGGCCAGAACACTATTTAAACCTCTAACTTCTTTAGAAATACTGATTAGTGTATAATTTTCATCATGATATACTGTATTTTCAACATTATTAAATTATATTTGATTATTAGTAAGTGCTTATATCTTGTTGAAACTAATAAAAAAATGCACTTGATTAGCTAACCTATTTCTGGCTAATTAAAAATCGAGTTCCGACCTATGAATTTAGGTGCTTAAGAGTAGAGGTTGGAACCAGTTTTAAATATTCGAAATATCACATAAAGATTCGAATTTATCACATAAAGATTCGAGTTTATCACGCCAAAATTCGAGTTTATCACATCAATTATTATTAATACAGTAGATTCTCCTAATAGTCACATGTTAAAATCAGATGATTTTTGTGCTTATTGTGAAATTGTGACTAATGCGGATAAAAATTTAACATATAATCTATTCTAAAAACAAAAAATTAAGGTGATTATAGCAAGATTGTGACTATTTTTAATGTGACTATTGCGAGAGTCTACTGTAATTGATGTGATAAACTCGAATTTTGGCGTGATAAACTCGAATCTTGATGTGATAAATTCGAATATTTAAAACCGGTTCTAACCTCTACTTGAAAGCACCCTAAGTAAAATCTTGATATAACGTATATAGCTGACTCTCGATATAATTGAGATTAAGCAAAATCTTGATATAATGAATCAAAGTTCAGATCCCACCATAATAAACTCTGCTATATATAAGGATTTACTAATAAATTCACAACATTGCAAAAAAAACCTCTATACGTTTAATAAAACATACATTTTATGTAAATAAAAGACATGCACATTAGGCCATGCAAAATTAATTAATTGGTTTTCATAACCCGGCCGGGTCAAAATTTGAAAACTTCTAAAAAAAAAATTTTTATATGTTTTAATAACCGGGTGGGTTTTAAAAAAATTTTTTATATAAATTTTATAAAATTTTATATATGAAATTTAAAAAAAAAAGCCGGCCGGCCGGGTCTATTTTTAAAATTTCATGTTATGAAAACCAAGTAATTAAATTTGTATGGCCTTATAGAAAAAATCAATTTATATCAAAATAATGTTCATCGATTCTCAAATTTTGTAATCCACTGTCAATATTTGGAATTGAAGAAATAAACTTGCGTCCACCACTGAACATGCCAGCATATGATTTTTCGATAATTTCAAGATTTACTTTTGATTTTTTCAACTCTGATAAATTATTTTTCTCATTTTGCCATTTCATAAAAATTTCACCGAGTTTTTCAGTTGATGGTCGCTTTTCAGTATCCTTATCCCAGCATTCTTTCATCAGATTTATATAACATCGTGGAGCTTCTTCGTTAATGGGTGGTCGTAAGTAATCATAACAAATTTTTAATTGAAGCTGTTGTTTACTAAATTTATGATAATAGACACAGATATCCCATATAAGATTTCCCACATTATTATTCCAAACGAATAGATGTCTGACTTTGTAGTATATGGTTGGCACATTAGAATTTCTGGGGCAATGTATGGTAGAATCCCACAAATTCCGTCATTCTTTTGTTCAGAATCAGAACTTGATAGTCCCAGATCACAAATATACGCGCTATATAAATCGTCTTGTAAAATGTTTCCACTGTGAAGATCCCGATGAATATAACCTTGAGAATGAATTGCCACAAGATTAGAAATAATATCATTTAATAGCTCTAATTTATGTTTCCAATTAATATGAAATACATCTTGAAGATTATCTCGTAAAGAACCTTTTGATGCATATTTTAAAACAAGGATATATTCTTTGGAATCCGGTTGTTGTGTTATTCCATGACATTTTAGAAATGAAGGATTTTCGTATCCGATTTTGCTATATGCTTTAAGCTAATAGAATAAAATTAGTCGTGTTTTTGAACTAATTATGTAAATAAATAGTCAGATACAGTCAAACCTCGTTATAA